TTCATAAAAGAAGGAAATGATCAGCGCGTTTATCAGAGAAGGGATAGAGCGGTGTGGAATAAAGGTAAATTATGTGAAAAATAATGATTTTTTTTAAAAACAAAGCATTAACACATGTTAGACTGCACCCCATAAACACAATCAAGCCTAGAAAAAAAACTGTGAACCACCCCTTTAATCAAAACGTAGTAACTCAATTTGACACTCGAGAGTCACAAGCTGTTTGAGAGGCGGCTGTGCAAGCTTTGGCTGAGAGCGCATTGAAGACCATCTCTCAGAGAGTGCACGAGTACTTTATGGGTTAAAATAGCTTGAATGTTTAAATTGGCATGACTTAAAATGACGTGCAAGTGACAATTCCGTCAACTGTCCGAAATGCGCGCGTGCAGCTCACTTGCAGAGCAAACTCAACGTGGATATTATGGATGTGAGGCCATTTGTGCATTTTGAGAGAGTGGGAGAAGACGCGGTAAAACTCAATCCCAATCACTCACACCGTTTGTGAAAGTTTTAAAATGACTGATCTTCTCTGATAATCTGTTTGGATTAAACCTACATGCTATAGTGCAGAAATGTTTGCGGGAATTCCCCGCTTTATAATCGCAAATCCTGCAGGAATGTGTAGAATTACATACAATGCCCGCAATCCCACAGCGAAATTCAGGCCCTGCTTATATTACACAAAATCACGGAAACATGGCAACTGAACTCTAAAAATTCACAGTGTTTTATTATAATAGTGTTCTCATTAAATTGTTATGTATATGACAGTCCCAGTCATAGTTATTAATATTCTGCATTGTTTGTGCTGCTCACGCTGCGCGCTGAAGAGATAATCACCGTAATAAGCCTACAATGAAGCGCTTTACTGCAGCGTAGCTCAACCAAACATATCTTATATGAGATATATATATCTCGTTTATAAATTATTTATATAAACCAAATTCCACAAAAGGCTGTGAGTGCCTGCACAAGTGAACTTGACTGTACTAGTCATGAAGATATAACTCCGTGGATGCATTCTTTCCATAACAACGTGCTGAAGCAAGGCATATTCTTTAACAGTAGAGCTGCACGATTAATCGTTAAAAGATCGTGATCTCGATTCAGACAACCACACGATCTCATTTCTAAATGACAACGATTCTCCCGTGTCTATTAAACCTTTGACAAATGACTCCAAGCTTTTGAATGGTAGAGTGTATAACGTTACAAAAGCTTTTTATTTCAGATGAACGCTGATCTTTCTATTCATCAAAGAATCCTGAAAAAATTTACTTGTGTTTTAAATATTGATAATAATAATAATAATAATAATAAAATGTCACATTATTTTTAGTTCAGTTCAGAATTGTGGGAGAATTGTGATCTCTATTTGAGACAAAAAAAATTGTGATTCTCAATTTATCCAGAATCGTGCAGCTCTATTTAACAGTCATGTTTTCATTATAACTTTATGTAGCCTATATGACAGATTTGTTCTGCACATGATGTCCTTAATGGTACCTTTCTTTTCAAAGTGGTTCAAGCAATTCAAAACCATCATGGCGTACGCGTTTGAAATGTCTCAGCAGGGGGTACGCCATGAGAATATCGCGGTACGTACCGTGGGAGGTGTATTGCAGTTTTTCGGACCAGTTTGAATATCGTTACACCCCTAATATATATATATATATATATACACTCAGAATAGTTTTCATGAGACTCACTCATCTGCAAATCAGTGGTCGATGAAAAATCAAAGAAAACGTGGTAGAATGAAAAAAATATATAAAAGTGACCCATATTCATCACATTACAACCTTTGTTTGCTTGGGTAAGATTCAGCATGAGTTCAGCAAGAAAATATTTATGTATTATCATTATGCATGTAAAATGATTATGTATCTATAAAAGGGTGACTCTCATGAGAACATGTCCATGTCATATTTCACCTTCAAATTAAAAAGAAAAACATTTCTTTGCATTAACAAAATAGGAATTATATAACCCAATTATGAATTACTTAATTATTATGACCCAAATTACTAAATATGACCTGGGCATGTTCTTGACAGGCTTCATGAGACTCTCTAATAATAGAATTTAGATCATCAACTGCGTAATGCAATTACTTGTGCATTTTCTCAACAGATTTTGGAAGAACGTTACAGTGTCTCCAGAAATCTGTTCATTTGTACACGTTATTCATTGATAAAGAACCACTTCCTGATCCTCAATGTAATGCAAACTGTAGAGAAGACGATTACATATGACTTCCTGCACTAATGATTAAACACAGACCTGCAGTGAATCCATCTCAAAGTGTCTCCTTACTGTATACTGTTACAAAGGAAGATTTCAGGAGATTTCTAGCTGCAGTTGAACTGGCTTTCATTATATTGCATTAGCAACCACAGTCAAACACAGGAAATGATGAAAAGCTAAAATAACGATAACCAATACTTTAGGTTATGATATACATTTCAAAGGATTTTTTTTTTTATCCAGCCAGCAGTTATATAGGCTATATACAAATGAATGGGTGATTTGAAGTAGTCCAAGACATGCTGATGTTTGGCAGGTCAAGATGCATTACACCATTAGGTTATTATGCATTAGGTTATTAACTGCAAACTTCATTGATTCTTATTAAAATAAGCATATATATATACACATTTACAAAATGCAGTTCACAACTATTAAAATATGTGACAGTCAAGTCATTCTGTGACACTCTGAAGACAAAGTGAGACTAAGCCTCATTTAACTTGCTGTGTAAGGTGTAAAAGTCTGACATCAGTTTAAAGCAAACTGTGTGCGATCAATTGTTATGTTTGATTAGTAAAACTGAGCTTGACATCTAACAGGATCATCTGTGTTTGCACAAGGACAAACTGGCCTCAGAAGTGAGGAGGCAAATCAAAATCCTCCAAGAAACATTTAATATACTGGCGAAGCTGTTCCTAATTAAAGGACCTCTCACAGAGATTTTCATTGGACGAGGTGCTTATGGTTCACAAGTTCCCCAGAAGAGAATGACTGGGACATTTAGCTTCAGTTTTATTTTATTTGGCCCTCACTGGACATCTCTTATTATTGCTTGGCCAAGTTAATGAAGATATTTGTGACTTTTGTTTCAGATAAACATAAGTAATGTCTTCTAATCTGCAGGGCGATTCCCTTGAGATCTAGACATTTGATTAAATGTGTGAGGAGTAACCGAGACAAAGAGAGAGAAGCGCTGTCAAAACAGCTCAGAGATTTCAAATTATGCAGGGGGTGCAAACTTTACAAATTAGAACTTGACAAGATATTCATTGTGGGGCAAAGTTATAATGTGCTTCTACTGCCCTCTGCAGGTGTATTTGGGTGATTTTGATAACCGTAATCTATCATAATAAATCTTGAGAAGGCACAGACACATATACTTTAAAGTAATGTTCTGGGTTCAATACAAGTTAACCTAGAGCAAAAAGCTTTTGTGGCACAATAATGATTACAACAGAAATTATTTTGTTTTGTTTTGTTTTTTTAACTATTCTTTCAATATGTACTGAACCCAGAACATTCATTTAATGAACTTAAAGTAATCTCTTCCCTGTCAAACAATGAATGTTTCACTTACAGTGTGCTGTGGATTATAAAACACACACCACACGTGTCTGATTAGCTGTATGTAAACATCTCATTAGGCTGGGTGTCTCTGAGGCGTAATGACCCCACAACTGAGATTTACAGAAATTAGCCCTAACACACCCATTTCCCAAGCGGTAAAATGAGGTCTGGAAAGGAAAGATGTGATACTCCACACACTGCTTTAAATGCATCTGTTTTCATTATGCACCAGAGAGATAAGTGCCAACAAACAGACAAGGATGGAGCTTAACTAACATCAAACTACACTCTTGACAGTTTAGATTTCAACACAAGGGTCTGTCACGCAAATTACACTTTAGAATAAATATATACACAAATTGTTTGTTTGCATGAGAAAGTTTGTGATGAAATATTAAGTGTTTTTGTACACAAGAGCTGCTTTTAGTCCTGGCCATGAAGTCTCTGGATTTTCTCATGTATTGTTTCTAAGGTGAACCACTAACCTTGTTCAGATGACAGTGACATTGACTGCTATCCACTTAAGACAATTGAATGACATGTTGAAGTCAATCAAATCAATCCAGTCGACGAGCTAATCGAGGGATGAATCAGCCCAGTGCTGTCTCCAGGGACAATGACGTTTGGGGTATAAGATGGTCTTTCATACAGACTTGCTTAGAAAGCAAAAACATTGGCTGTTTACCCATGCTGACTTCACCCAAGCAATCGCAGCAAAAGCAGGAGAGGACTGTTAGTGAAAAGAACAGCTTGGAATATTTACACAGGATACTCAAACCACTGTGATAGTTACAGCTTTGAGATTGGTGCATCCTCTCTTGCTTTGGCCTGTTTCAGTTACTTGACCTCAAAGAAGTATTACATATAAGCAAAGTTGATGTGTTACCTCTAAACGGTGCAGAGGGTCATTGGGTAAGAACTCCGTAATGAACTCCTCCAATGACTTGGGCTGATTAGATGAAGATTTTGATGGGACGGGATTCACAGAGGAAGACTCTGCTTCTTGCTGCTTCTGTTGCTCCTTTTGAAGTTGTCTCTCTTTCCTCATGTCCTTAGCTTTCTGACACAGAGGCCTGCTGGGATCGGCTCCCTTACCTAGAATTAAGAAAACTGATTTTTTTTCATGTTTTTGAAAGAAGTCTCTTCTGCTCTCTAAGGCTGCATTTACTTTACCAAAACTACAGTAAAAACCGTAATATTGTGAAATATTATTACAATTTAAAAGAACTGTTTTCTATTTGAATAGATAGTAAAATGTAATTTATTTCTGTGATCAAAGCTGAATTTTCAGCATCATTACTCAAGTCTTCCGTGTCACATGATCCTTCAGAAATCATTCTAATATGCAGATTTGTTTGCTTTGATACATTTTTTTTTCAAAATTATTTAATGAATACAAAGTTCAGAAGAACCTTTGAAATTTGAAACAACATCTTTTGTAACATTGTAAATGTTTACACTGTCACGTTTGATTTAATGTGTTCTTGCTGAATAAAAGTATTACTTTTTTTTTTTTTTTTAAAGTCTTTTGTAGAACAAGGGCAGCTTTATTTGCAAAGAATTTGTTTTATTGCTGGCGGTAACAAAATTCTACAAAGGAAATAGAAGGAAAGGTTTTCAATTTGTTACGATACGGTATTTGCACTTTATTTCTATGTGAGGTATTTCTGAATGACACAGTAAACTGGAGGTGGAGAACGATTTCATCCATGATGAATTTATTGGATGGTGTCAAATGGGTGTTTTTACAAGTTTTCCAACTTGCAAACATATTCATTTCTTAGCATTTAGAATAATGTGCACTGATAAATCACGCACATTAAGACGTGATTCAATGACGTGGTCAATGTTGATTTCATGTTGACTTGGTTGACTTTATGTGGCATGTGTAATGTTTAAGAATGCATGCCCACAGGCAGAGGCACACCCTGTGTCTAAAATATATGTCAAATAAATAGTTCAGCACAGTGGAAAACTTGACATCTCCAAAAAGAGCAGAGGAAAACCAGCAGCAGGAGTCTGAAAAACCTGCGGGCCGTGATGCCAATCTGAAACAAAACTAAGTGTCCATTTACAGACTACTACACAAACTGTAAGAGGCAGAGGAGTGAAGACTACAGGAGAGGTATAATCAATAACAGGTCTTGAGCACATCCCACATTTGGAGCCGTTTTGCTGGGAGTGAGAGCATGTTTCCGTAAGCGGCTCGCGGGCACGTTCACTAACGGTAGGAGAGCGTGATCCAAGCACGATGTGTGCGCTCCAATGAGTCGTCCAGTTTGCATTAGTAAGCGCAGGGCCGGGTCCTCCTGTTTAGATGGAAGTCATTTGCGCTCCTCTGACATCATGACATCATCGCAGCTGTAAAACAACACGGGCTCTGTTTGTTGACTCCCGCTGCTTTTGCGAGGATTGTTCAGGCCGCTCGCAGGTTTAAATGAAAGTGTCAAGATGGTTGTTCATTTGCCCTGAAGGACACCGAAGGAGGTGGTAATCCCAGATCGAGAACGACAGGCAGGGCTAGTAAGGAAAAGGGGGGACGGAGAGGGTCACTGCATCAGTTACTGTTTCAGAGTGTGCGGCGGTAGCAGTCCTGGCAGCCGGCCATCCATTTACTATTGAGAAAAGATTAGACAGCGGGCTATACGGTGTACAGTAATGGTGTAATGCTGAGCTAACGCTTGGACACACACTCCAGTCATTAACTTTATCTCTGGCAACTGTCGAGCACCCCATCACCTTATTTCACCTCAAAATACTCATATTCTGAAGCATAATCATATTTCTAGCTACAATTAAATTTCCAAGAATAATCTGAGTGGTGCAAATTATTCAAAGCACTTTCTGCTCTGATTTTAGGTATTGCAATGCATTTGCTAAAGTTTCCGTGATATTCTGGTCTCTAGATAGGGCTCAGTTTCTGGCTGTAGGCAATTCTGAACTGATTAGCTGGCACTTACGAAAACAGACACACATATTTGACACCAGAAGTGCAAAATGAAATGCTTCACATCCTGTTCTAGCAGTCAAGAACAAAAACGGATTCATTTGTTGGACTGTGCAAGCTAAACAGTTTGTGTGAGATAATGTGTTTTGAACTTTGGCAGTATATATCTGGGTTAGAGTACAATAACCTGCTCACTCCCTCCCTCTCTCTCTCTCTCTCCCCTCAATCTCCCTGGACCGACGCCAGCCCCTCGGAGTGCTCCCGACATCCCATATCAACAGTTTACATGCCGACATCCTGTTTGGAGCAATAAGGAAAGCAGGATCATTTCCTGCCTGTCCCTGTGCCAGCCGTCGCCGAGCGTCAGCCAGCCCGCCTGCCATCAACCCATCAGAGATACAAGGAGCATAGCTAAGTGCAGCTCATAAAACCTGTCAGAAGCATATAAATCAAATAAAATGTAATTAAAATAAGGAATTATATATTTACATTGAGAAAAGGAAATCAATTTCTAAAACTTTTTTTGCACTGTAATGATCATCACTACTGTAATTTTTTACTACTACAGCAAAAAAAAAAAAAAACATTCATGAATTCATAAATTAATGTAAGTACAACAAACACTTCCATGATGAACACTTCATAACTTAAAGTTTAGAGTAGGTTTAATTTTTTTTTCCAGCAAGGGTACATTAAACTGATCGAAAGGGACATTAAAGATATTTGTAATGTTAAAAAAGATTTCCATTTCAAATAAATGCTGTTCTTTTGAACTTTCTATTGATCAAAAAATATATCACAGTTTTCACAAAAACACTAAGCAGCAGCACAACTGTTTTTAGCATTGATAATAATAAGAAATGTCTCTTCTGCAGCGAATCAGCATATTAGAATGATTTCTGAAGGATCATGTGACACTGAAGACTGGAGTAATGATGCTGAAAATTCAGCTTTGCCATCAGAGAAATAAATTATATTTTAAAATATATTCAAATAGAGAACAGTTCTTTTAAATTGTAATAATATTTCACAATATTACTCTTTTTGGTAAAATAAGAGATTTCTTTCAAAAACACACACACACAAAAAATACCGACCCAAATATTTAAACAGTAGCGTATAGCTTTTGAAAATTACATTTCATTATAACAATGAAACATAAATGTAATTTTAATTTCACTTTTAAAAGGAAAATGAGCTTAATTGTCATTAAAATAATGTCACAACGCAAAAAAAAAAAAAAAATACTGTATTAAAGAAACTGACCCTGACAAGTTCTGGACTGTTTTGGACAAATTTCAAGAGATTCACCCATGAACAACACAAGAAGTGTTTACTTTCTTTGTTACTTTAATTTAATACTACAATAAACTCTAGACGCATTAGAAGTGCAGCATTAACCGGATGCAACTTGTTAGTTACACTTGCAACACAAAGCGCAGATTTGGACCAGCTTTAAAAAACACATCGATAACAGACTATTTACACTTTCCTCAAATAAATCTGGCCTTTACACGCTTCGCATGAGACGTGGGATCTCCTACAGGACCTCCGAGCGTTGCTCTGTGACTTCCTCCGACAAAGAGTCAGAGTCATTGAGACAATTAGCTCTTTCTTAACATTCATTCTTCCCTCTTTTCCTGTTAATACCTCCAGTTGACTTAGAGGAGGGAATGTTTCCGGCCAGGGTTGTAAATATGGCAAAGGGATGATAGAGATGTTGAATGGCTTTCCTCCAAACCAGAGTAAACACGAGCGAGAGAGCTAGAGCAGACGCTGGGCCAGATCCAGGACAAAGACAGCCTCCGTTCTGTTACTCGCACTGTTTAACTGGGAGCTGGTGTGGTGCTGCCTGGTTATAATACCGTAGAGTATCATATGAATGCATCTGCACACTCCTCAACTCAGCACACATTAAGAAACTCCTTGACACGGCTGACAGGGGTTTGTGGTCCCTAGTACAATTCGCAATGGATTTTTAATCACTTGTCACTTTAACACTTTCCGCCCGGTTACGACAGTGTTATGTTATTGACGCGTTTGCAATTCAACTCACTTAAAAATGTTAGTATAGCACTTTTCACAATACATTTGATTCCAAAACAGCACTACACACACAAAAAAAAAAACACGCCTTAAACTCCAACAAGCAAGGCAACTAAAGCACAGAAAATCTTTTTAAAGGGACCGTTCCACATGTATGACTTACTTTTTTCTGCGGGACACAAAAATTAAGATATTTTGAAGAATGTTTGGGGTTCAAACAACACTGGACCCCATTAACTTTCATTGTATGCACAAAAAACACTGATACACTTCTCAAAATATCGTCTTTTGTACAGAAAGAAATGACGGTGAGTGAATGATCTATCGTCCTTTTAAAGATCCTTAGGTAGACAAGAATAAAACGCGGAGGAACTAAAATAATAATTAAACTTATTTTGAATAGTAAGTAAAAATATATATAATTCATAATATATAATAATTTCTAATTATACTTTTAATAGTTTATAATTATTACAATATTTATAACAGTAATTATACAACATGCACACTATTAAATCAAGTGTGAACATAGCTCAGACTGTTTGAAGACTAATTAAATGGGTCACGGTCAAATGCTGACCTATAAACACTGAATATTATCACATTTGACTAGAAACACTGACTGGATTGTACTGAGGTCGCACAGACCTTTAGCAATAAACACATGCTGTTGCGAGCGGGCGGTTGTGTGCAAGGGAGAGATAAACTCTGACAGATCTGTTCCTGCGGAAGACACATTCTCCCTCTCTAGCAGTTAACAGTTCGTAAAAAGTCCAGAACTGCCTTTCCTTGAGGACTCATGGACACACATATACGGTTACGCATGCTAATGTATATGCAGAAGAAACTCAAAGACACATTCCTTCAGATGCATGTACTCCTGCCGACACACACACACACACTCTCCCTGAGGGGACAGTGGAAGGTATATTTGCTGTGCGGGGATGAGTCAGGAATCTGTGAATTAGAGCTGGCACACTCCTTTATGAGAGGAAAACATATGGAAAGCGGAATAGTGGGGCGTGGGGAAGAGAAACACTTTTACTACCTGGACCAGCCTTTACTGGACACACAAGGCTGAAGCACTCAGTCAACAAAAACT